TTGCCGAAAGTGCGTGCCAAGGACCGTGTGTGGAGTGGAAGCAGCGCTTGCCATAGGGATTGTACAGCAGTGTGTGCCCTGTCCGTGGAAAGGAATGCGAGGTCAGATTTCGGCAACGGAAGTGCTCGTGTGGGTGAAGTGCCTNGTTAGCCTCCTTGCAACTTTTTTCTTCTCTGCCTTCTCTAGTGCAAGATTTTGCTTCAGCTTCCTCTTTCTTGGGGTATCAGGACCCACTGTTGACCGTTCCCGAATCATCAGAAAGGTGCCCTCTCGCAATCTCTGAAGCTGCTCGTCCCTGCCCTTCCGTGTCTTACATATTGCTTTCTCCTTCTCAGCCAGGCGTTTTACAAAACCCGGAATATTTTTGGGGTAATTTTCAGAGCACTGCGTCAGTTCCATCAACAACCCTGCAAACCGTATAGAGGAGAATGAGCAGTCCTTTACCAGGTATCCATGCAGCTCAAGTGCAATGTGTGGTCCAATATCTAAAAATAAAAACAAACGAAACAATCTTTCGTCATGTAATATTTCATTGTAGAAAAGAATGTTTATTTGAGGCATGTATGAATTCAATGCTTATAGTTATAATGTAAAAAACAAGTACTGAAAATACATACATGATTTGCTTTGTTGACCTTCAGATGTAACTCGACGCTTGGCATGACTACACGTACTGGATGAGGACGATGCTGCAGAACAAGAAGCTGCATCACTGATGGGGGTTGAATGTGACTGTGTGGAATCTGTAAATAAAATACATGTAAAACAGAAAAAAAATTTAAGTAAATGGCTGAGAAATTTTTGTTACAATTGAAGGAATCTGCAATGCTCTTTGCATCTTTTGGTAGCTCTATTTCGGGAAGAGTGCCCTTGATGCCTTGTATGAGAAGCTCAAGATTTTCACACTTTTGACAGAGGCAACTAACCTCAGGAATATCTTGCTGATACAAGATATGTTTCTCTCCCTTGATAAACCGATGGAGAGTTGAGAATTTAATCTCGGCATTGAATTTGGACTTGAAACTCATAGTTATGGCATCAAGGTCATCATCCCTATTCAGCATTTGATACAGATCCCTAAGGGTCCAGAGCAGATAGTGCTTTGTTTTGTATATTTTTTCACCAGATTCTTTCCCTATGTATTTTTGATCTTTTTTACCTGGCAGTGTATAGCTGATGCCAGGTTGTTCAAGGTAATTGAGTAGGAACGTTTTCTGTTCCTCACTCAGTGCCAGCGGACGGCCCTTGTTTGTTTCAGTGCTTTTTTTGCCCAGATTGTTGAGGAATTTGCTTTTCTTCGTTGGAGTTAAACTTTTGACGATTTTAGAGAGCACAAACACTCGCTGCTCTGTATCCTTAGGAAGCGTTGATTCTGCCCTTTTAATGCTTCTATGTAAAGCTTGTTTTGTGCTGAAAGGACAACTACATTTGTCCTGGCTTTTTGGTGATGGAGTGTCAAAGGTGACAGATGATGATGCAGCACTTGAACCCGGGTTTGGTTCCTTTGGGTGCAGGTTTCTTTCTTGATCATTAGGTGCCAAACTTGAGGTTGGGGTCATGGCTAGTTGTGAGTCGAGTGTGGCCGTTTGTGAGTCGGGTTCATCTTCTTGCAGCTGGGGTGTAGCTTCTTGCGGGTCCGATTTGGATTCAGGATCAGTGGATTGAACTGACAGTGCTACATGTAGCTTAACTTTCTTTTTTGCTTTGCGTTGTCTGTCTCTGAATTTTACAAGATCGTGTTCCTCCTTGTTCTTTTGCAGATGTTCTCGATACTTTTTCTTACGCTCTCTCTCTTTGGCATGGTACTGTTCTTGATCTAAAGATGCTCTGTATCTCTTGCATCTCATCGCATTTTTTGAATGCTCAGACATTTTGCCCTATATTACAAAAAACAAAATATGATTTTAATTTCAGTGTTTTATTATTACAAAAAATAATGGTCATGAATTCACAAAGGCTTGATAGTTGATAAAGTCTGGGCATTTTCGGCTTTATGAATGGAAGCATTCTCCCTACTGAAACATTCTAATACATTTTGCTACATCCAGCTGATTTTGTAATAATGAGAATTCTACAACATATTGAAATTTATATTCAGTTTTACAAATGTATAATACATGTACATGTAAATCTTACCTGATACTGGTAGGAAAATCCAAGTGATATTTCGAAGCTTATGTAGGACGAGGCTATGGCAGTTGCA